GTCTGTCTGTATTCTGTCTGTCTTGTCTGTCTGTCTGTCCTTTATGTTATGTTGTATGTTTAGTATGTCTATGTTGTAGTATGCATGTATTATGTATGTATGTATGTATGTATGTATGTAGTATGTATGTATGTTATGTATTTATGTATGTATGTATGCATGTATGTATGTTGTATGTATGTATGTATGTATGTATGTATGTATGTATGTACGTATGTATGTATACGTATGTATGTATGATGTAGATGGTGCATACATACATACATTTTACTACTTAAAAAACAATTACTTTGTCATTAATTAAAAATTATAAGAACAAGCGTCTGTATTTTACTCTAAACACAAAATGAAAAAGAAACGAGGGACCATTAACAGATACCAACCAACTAACCAGCCCAAATCGACATTACCAACTGACAAAGTGTAACTAAAAGAAACAAAATACAAAAATAATCAAAGTAGCAGGATCTAATTTAAGGGAATTAAAGTCATAAAATGAAATAGAAATAGAAACAACAGCTTAGTTTGTTTGAGAAATGACACAATATGCGGGCGGTGAAGATGGCCATTTAAATCATTTAAACTTGAAGACATCTTAATCCAGAAGGATTTTAACAAAATAGATGGAAATTTTATTTCCTTAGAAATTACTTTTTCTTATAACAACAAAAAGAGACGAATAATAGAATGGCTGTAAGATGTTTTTTAAAGTTTGATATTACATCTTCTAATGATTTCAATTAGAAAATATTGTATGTCGTGTTCTTATATTCAAAATTACTTAACTTCATAAATTAAGTTTTCAAAGCAGCAGCAAAACTCGCATTATTTAAGAATTATTGTTCGAAATATAATGATCTCTTGAAAAATTTATTTATTTTGAAGAAGAAAATTTTAAACATTGGACCTTCCTTTTTTTATCAATTGTATTTTGTGTCATTTGATAAGATGCAGTCGCTTGTATTTAATAAACGGTTTGTTTTTAAATTTTATAGTGTAGTATACATACATACAACATATTTAATGAGAAATAGCTGGCGGTCATTAAACAACAAATACAAGAGAAATAATTTGTATGAAAAATGTTAAACAAAGAATATTTTAAGTTTTTAATTATAAAAAAAGAATATTTTAAGTTTTTAATTAATACTACAAGTGCTACCAGAACATACTAGGGCTGAGTGGCGCAAAAAAGCAATAATTTGAAAAATACAATACAATTAGCAAAAATATTATATGACTAATCAAACATATATATTGTATAATTATAGTAAAATATTAATTACTATTTTATCCCCAGACATAAAGGGCATTAGTATGTGTGACACCACAAAAATGGATCAACGTCCAAATTAAAGAACTTCTAAACATCATAAATAATTTCCTAATCACTATAGAGAAAAGACAAAATATTCTATTCAAACATTTAGTAAAATGTCAAATATTTAATAATTTATATGAGAACTTCAACCATGTGTTTAGAAAGAAGTATAAGTATATAAGTATTAAAGTAATTTTAAAATAAAAAAATACACTACCCATACATACATACATGATTACATTGTACAATAAAATGTATACAACTATGTATACAACATTAGGGTAATAACTTTTATAAAATCTTTGAAAATATCAAATCGGCCATATCCATTCCACATAAAGTATTTAAATTTGTTTCTGAATGGTTTTAGAAAATCGACCCAAAATGACCCGAGAAAAAGGTTTTCGTTATTAGAACACTACTGAGTACCACGTAGTAGGGCTTAAATTGGGTTATAACTCTAATGTACATATCTTTGCATTAATTAAAAAAGGATAGGAGTTGTTTTTTTTCAAATGGTTGTAAAGCATTTTACATGGAATATTCTACTGGTATATCTATTCACATTCAATAAATACACTGCGAATCACTTGAATAACACAGAAAAAACTTTATTTACGAGAAAAGCAGAAAAGTATTATAGAAGCTAAGTAAAACTATTACGTTAGTTAATTTTGGTCGAAAAAATAACTCTTTATAAATAAATGTAGTATGTATGTAGAAACATATAAAAATTCCTTAGCCGGGATTTGAACTCAGGCGATCAGTTGTTTTGTATGTTTCTGCTTACTCGGTGGTGCATCATTAACAAGTTGTTTTATTGAGATTTTGCAAACGGTTTTTGTTTGTTAAAAAGACGAATTAGACAATCGAGCTATAACAACTCCTAATTTCTTCGCTCTATACCAGTAAGTACCTATTCATATAAATAAAATAATGTGGTTGTTAATAACCCCTCATTACCATGTAATGTATGAACTATCTACTGGTTATTAGCAAAAAATTTTAAATTTTTTGCTGGGCAGGAAATTTTGTCAACTTTGAACGAATACATCTTATAAACTATATATTGAAGGATTAAAAATTGTCTGAGTTTTAAACATTGAGTAAAATGTATTTGTCAATCTTGGGCCGTTACTAATGTTTTATATTTTAATAGTCGCAAAAATATGAAAAACGGATTTTAAATTGAAACATAGGATGCATATACGGGATTATGAAATACTCTATCTACCATGTCTACATTTGAATGTTGTATAAAAATGTTCTTGATATTGCAATATGTATTTGTTGAATTCGTATCGGTATTTCAGTTCGTATGTGAATTTAATTTATGTAAATTTATACACGTACATATGTACGTTCACATACCTTTTCAAGGACTCTGTTTTTTCTGGTTGTTGGTATTTGTATGTATGTATGTATGTATGCTTGAGTTTGTATGATTGTGTTTTGTGTGATATGAAAGTGAAAAGTAAAGAAATATTACAAACACCATTTTTTGTGCTAAAAATAATAATAGTAGAACAAAAATGAAAAATATGAATACACTTTGTCAACATTTACATTTTTTTAACATAAATATACAAGAACATTTTTGTTTTTCTTTCTCTTTACACATTTGTTTTGTATTTCTTTTTTTCCAAGATATTTCCTTCTAATCTAGTTTTTCTATTACTGTTTCTTTTGCTATTTTGCTCTTAGTCGAGAGTTCTTTGTCCTGGTTGCTAAAGTGGGAACGAATTCCTTCTGACATTCGATTTGGAACATATAAAAATATTTGAATACGACGTTTGAGTGGCAAATATTTTACACATTCAAGTCTAGTCACGTAATAAAATATTAACTTATTATACATAAGTATTAAATTTAATAAACAATATTCGTAACAAATCAGGTTTACTTTTGTTGTCTCAAATTTCAATTGTTTATGATGATGAAGTGTGCTCTGAATTCGTTATGTACATATGTACATAGAAAATGGTTTTATTTGATTTTTATCACAGTATGTTACTAATTTTATGTGTATATTCCCATTTCTTTTACTTTTCCATTTGTCAACTTCAATTGTGTGTAAATTTTTGTTTATTTTCCACAAGAATACAAGTGTAAAAAAAGTATTTGTAAGTATTTGGATTTTATTCTAAAAGTTTTCCTTTTTTCTAATTTATACGCGTTGTTGATAGACAAATTTTGTCTATTTGTAAGTGTGTAATTGTGCTGTGAAACATGTCTGATGTTGTAAGGTGTGAAAATGGTTTATTTTTATTTTATTGTTGGGGTGAATAAACAAATTGTGATGTTTAATTTTAAATTGTTCAAACAAATGAATACTTATTAGAGTGGTTCTTCGATGTAGGGAGAGAAGTAAAAAATACATTGAACAAGTTGCAATAATTAAAGAAAAATTATTTATACATATAAAAGAAAAATTTGGCACAATTTTTACCTTCGTGAAGTAGGCATGCGAAACGGGATATTCCAGGATTTTTTAAAATAAAATCCCAGGATTTTAAATTTTTGGTGTTTTTTTGCTAAACTTATAAATTGACAGATATTTTTTTATAAAATATTTAGAAAACAACGATATGCTAAATAAGTCTTCAACTAAAATGTAGGAGATTTAATTGTCTACAGAAATGAAGTAGTAATTGAAGTCGTAGGAATCACAATAAGCGATATATATATGTAGGTATGTATTTGTAAACAACTGATTTCTGTAACTTTTGATACACAATATTTCTCCTAGCGTACATGGGATTAATAATGACTTTTAGATCCTTAATTAAGAACCCAAGACGAAGCTCTTTACCAACTTTAATTTAGCCATTTAAAATTTCTCAGTTTGGTCATTTTCGTGACTGTTTTTCTTGGGCTATAATTAACATTTTATATATCACTAGACATACATATGTAATAAGTATATCTCATTCGTATGCATTTTTCTCTTTCCTCTCTCTGAAATGCCACAACGTGTAGCAGTTGTGATCAAAATTATTTCTAATAAAACTCAATGAGAACAAGGTCATCATTGTTTGAAATTTCGTTTTTATTCAAATAATTTTTTTCATTTAAAGAAGATCAATGATAGATTATACCCACTATCCACATAAGTACATAAATACATATCGTCACCTAAAACGTAAACGGCCCTATCTAACATTTTTAAAATTTTCCAGGAAAAGCAAAAACTATTTAATTGAAAAGTTTGTTTCTATCAGCGATTTATTTGTTGTAAATAAACAAATTGTTTAATAGAGAAACCTATCATTTGTTATGATAGTTGACAATGGCGTATATAAAAATGGATAAATTAGACTTTCTTACCTATAATATTTAAATGTTTTTGTAGATAGGGCCGTTTGTTTTTTGTCAATAAAATCAACAATTGGTGTGGACATTTGTTATGATGCAATACATTAGAATCAACAATAAAATCGATTTTGATTTTTTGGTTAGTTAGAGCCGTTTGCGTTTCAGATGCCGAATTGTACATATGTATGTATTTTAAGTTCGGCCAAATTTGTTTTTTAATTTTTAATGATTAATTATAAACAACATGACACTAAGCAATTAATATTTTTTTAGAATAAAATCCAATAGTTGGATTAGATAAATAGAAACAAATATAAATTAACAATCTTAATAAATACATACATGTGTTTATTTCACAGATTACCTGTTGATTTCAATTGTAGTTTATGCAAGTCAGTTCTTATATGTTTTGCTCTAAAATAAACAAAAAAAACATTTTAATCTTTAAATATATTTTCACCTCTTTTTTCTAAAATTATAAATATTTATAGTAGACTGTTCATTTTTTTTGGAACATGTCTATTTTAAGCAATACATATTTCTTTCCAACATTGAATACATATTAATTTACTTTTAAATAATGATAATGATATACATATGGGCAATTTCATGTCAAGTGTCCCAACTCAAAAAATCGATTTTGACGAATTTGCACCAAAATTATTTTGATTACTTGTACAACATTGGCAATCATGTGGTGGTATGTTAAAAATTTCCCTAAATTAGTTACATACATACATTCATTCATTCATTCATACATACATACATACATACATACATACATACATACATACATACATACATACATACATACATACATACATACATACATACATACATACATACATACATACATACATACATACATACATACATACATACATACATACATACATACATACATACATACATACATACATACATACATACATACATACATACATACATACATACATACATACATACATACATACATACATACATACATACATACATACATACATACATACATACATACATACATACATACATACATACATACAAACATACATACATACATACATACATACATACATACATACATACATACATACATACATACATACATACATACATACATACATACATACATACATACATACATACATACATACATACATACATACATACATACATACATACATACATACATACATACATACATACATACATACATACATACATACATACATACATACATACATACATACATACATACATACATACATACATACATACATACATACATACATACATACATACATACATACATACATACATACATACATACATACATACATAAATACATACATACATAAATACAGTGGACGTCCAATAGTACGTATACTCTTTATTACGAATATCCAATAATACGAATGGCAAAATTGTTGCATTGTCTACTCTATAGTACGAATAAAGTCACAATTTTTCTGTTCGATAGTACGAATAACGCATTTTTTATGGGAATTTTGGTTTTATTTTGAAGTTTTTTTGTATTTACTACAAGTGTTTTGTATTTTTAAAAATCCTATACACACAATTTACTGCATGTATATTTACAAATCAACAATTATTTAGTGTTATTAATTTATTTTATTGGAATTTTGATGACCCAAGAGAAGAAATTAAATTGGATGATAACGCCAATGAGGAAAGTATTTTGTTAGTTCCCGACAATAACTCTGCTGAGAACAATATTGAAGCCTCAAAAGCGCTGTTATTGAAAAAGCCGTAAGAATCATTTTAAAATGTAATAAACATCGATGTTAAATGATGGTTTTTTTAATAAGTAAAATGATATTTATATACATATGTATGTATGAACTGTTAATTTTGAAAGTAGTGTGACTCCACATTCCAAACAATGGGTTTAAGGACAACTATTCTAATTTTTAAGAGAAAATTATAAATTAGAGAATTGTGGTATATTCCATTCAAGTTTCTAATAAAAGTTTTATGTAATCTGAACATTTTAATACATTTTAGAACACATATGTAAATTGCAAATTGTCTTTGGCACACATCTTTTTAAAAACATTAAAATTTAAAACCTTCTACATATATCTCATTTCAACCATTGGACTCACGATACTTTCAAAATTAACAATTCATATACGTAAATATGTCCCTTTTATGCCTGTTTATGTACAAGAAAATTCATTTAAAATAATACACATTTATTATATTTGTTCCGTTATGTAATTTTTCATGAAAAATAAAACAAAAATAAATAAATCCAATATTTTATGTGTATTATTTGAATTAAGCATACAAAATGTGTTGTTCAATAATACGAATTTTTCGGTATTACGAAAGGGCCTGACACTATATAATTCGTACTAGTGGGACGTCCACTGTAACATACATACATAAATACATACATACATACATACATACTAATACATACATACATACATACATACTACATACATACATACATACATACATACATACATACATACATACATACCTACATACATACATACATACATACATACATACATACATACATACATACATACATACATACATACATACATACATAACATACATACATACATCATACATACATACATACATACATACATACATACATACACATACATATACATACATACATACATACATACAATACATACATACATACATACATACATACATACATACATACAGACATACATACATACATACATACATACATACATACATACATACATACATACATACATACATACATACATACATACATACATACATACATAACATACATAGATAGATACATTCATTAAAACATAGATTTCACTATAAGGAAATTTCTCCGATTTCGATGAAATTCGATCACACTTTGTTTATGGATTTATACTTGAAGTTTAATATCATATATTTTATAAATCTTGGTCCCAAATTAGTGGCCGGCTGTTACTGACAGTTTAAATTGCAAAACAGTTCTTGAGTCAAGAATACCTCAAAAAGGTATATTCTACTTTATAATTCCTAAAGTTATTTTTTTTACTGTTTCATCAACAATATTACAAAATATAAAATTATTTACTAAAGTACATTTGTCAGAGGGATTAATTTTCCACTAATTTTTTTATATGTAAGAAGCTTTCTTTGAACTACTTTATTTCCCCGCTTGAAAGTAACATATTTTCAGTTGTTTTTACATTTTTATCTTTTTTTTTCGTAAAGGGTGGCATTTTTTGTTTTAATAAAAACAATTATGTTTTATGAAGCCTTAAATTATGCAGTGTCACGGCTGTAAAGAACGTTATAAACGGGGGTAAAAAAGGATTTAAGTATTTTGAATTTTCAACAATACGTCGCATATTTGCAACTTTAAATTTAAATTAATAATAAAACTTATGTATGTATGTATGACCAAGTGCGGTCATATTACATGTGCTATTAATGAAAAAACTGAGATCGAAATGAAATGTTTGATATTGTAGTTAATAAAGTTGGCTATTCAGAAATACTACGTAATCCGAACTAATTTCGAAACCTCACAAATTTTACAAAAATTTAAGAGATTCACATAGAAATTTTAACATTTCTATAAAAAGATCAGCCTCACATTTGGAGTTTTGAGTATTTTTCACCATAAGGTTATTAAACATGTAATAGCTCTATATTCGGCTGTGCCGAATCTTATACACCCTTCACTATAGTATACAAATTGTAAAACGAAAAAGTACCAGATACTTCCCTTTTATAAGTTCAATATTATAGAAAATTTAAAAATTTCATTTTGAAATTCGTCGGAAAATTATATATGTACATATTAGAAAAATACTTATTTATATAAATTTGTCGGAGTAATTTTAGTTCCTAAAAAACTTGTTTACTATTTTTAAGCCAGTTATGGACGTTAATATTTTGGACTTTATAAAACTTGTTTACGTCAAATTTCATCGCTATACAGGTTTTTTTAAGTCAGTTGTGAGCCAGACCTGGGCGATTTCCATTAATTTTGCATTAACATTAAATTAAAAAAAATTAATTTAATGTAAAAAATATTGCATTAACATTAAATTTGTAAAATTTAATGCATTAAATTTCCATTAACATTAAATATTTTTGAATTTAATGCATTAATTTTACATTAACATTAAATATTTTTGAAATTAATGCATTAATTTTGCATTAACATTAAATATATCTGAATTTAGTGCATTAATTTTACATTAACATTAAATAAGCAATAAAATTAATGCATTAATATTCCATTAACATTAATATATATAAAAATTGATAAACATAAATAAAAATACAGCACAAAAGACCTCGATCTAACTAAATACAACTAAAATTAAATAGGTTAAAGTCCTTTCTAATAACTCCTATATTCCATTCAAACTTGTGTGTTTTAAATATGATATTTATATAAGATTCCACAAGAGTGATACCAAGAAGTGATACTATTCTTCTAATAAGTATTATCGTGTATAGGACTTATACGAAAGGACTTTAACAAAATAAACTAAAAAAGGAATATCTGGGAAGTGATACTAATCTTCTAATATGTATTATCGAGTATAGGACTATTAGAAAGGACTTTAACACATTCAATTTTACTTGAATTTAGTTAGACCGAGGTCTTTAGCGCTGTATTCTTATTTTTATAAATTATTTTATACATTAATGTTAATGGAAAATTAATGCATTAATTTTATTATTTATTATTTAATGTTAATGAAAAATTATTTTCCGAAGAGGTACTTATATGTGGTTAGGGTCAATTATGGACCGATCCTAATAACATTTTGTAGAACGAACTTGTTTATGTCGAATTTCATAGCAGTACTCTTATTTTTTAGAGTCATTTTCTGATAGGGTCAATTATGGACCGATCCTCAAAAACTTATAATAGAGATTTTGGTTTGCATACAAATTGTTTATTTTGAATTTTATCGCTATAGTGTAATTTTGTTTAACAGTTATGGCAGTTTTTGTCAAGTTTTTACAATTGTAAACAGATTTTCAGGGTCAATTATGGACCCCTCTCATTAATTTTGGTATGAAGGTTTAAGTACCTATAAGAACATGACTATCCCGAATTTCATCGTTATACTCGACCATCTGTTTAAACTGTTTTGAAAAATTGTCTGCGATCTTTTCTAGCTTATTGCGGGAAAAATAACTAAAGTTTTTCTGGTTCGCCAAACAATTTTTATTGCATTATAAGGGCCATACAAATTCCAAAATATTCCGAAAAATTTGGAATTAGAATAAATCCAATTGCAAATAATTTTTTAAATATTTTTCTGTATAAACTGAAAATTATGCCAATTTTTACACCTATTTCGATAATATGCGAAAAAAACAACCCCAACAAAAATACTCTAACAAAATTTCAAAATTATTTTATTTTAAATCTGCTCAAAATTACGGAATTTTTGAGACCAATTTTGAAAGGATTGCCGGATTTTTTTTAACATATTGCACTGAGATCCAGATTTTCAATCGTTGGAAACGCACCGAATGAGAGGTATTCCTATATGAGATTCTTAAAAAGGCTGTTCCTCGGGACACTCTAATGTACATACATACATGTTGAATATACTACATACATAAATATGTATGCATGTACATACATATAAAAAACTTTACAACATGATAGAAAGCAAAATCGTTTAACAACTTAAAATAAAACTCGATTCATATATGATTGTTCCTTCGTAAACTCGACACACATTAAAGTGTGTATATGTACATTGTACATACACATGTAGTTTGTGTGTGATAAAAATATGACCATAATCGAAATAAAAATAATAATTATTGAGCCAGTACCATGTTTGGTTTCTGTCAAATATACGAAAATGTAATTTTTTTTATGACATTTGTTTACTAACACACATACGATTCATAAGATTAAATAAAATAAACTAAAACAAACAACCAACAGTTTTCAATTGTTAATTTTTTTCTGTGTTCATTTTAATGAAATCACGCATTTATAAAATGAATATGAAAATTATTCACTCATTCATACACCCACGCCACCAATACATTCATTCATAGATTCCTTCACATACTATAGCACAAGCAGTAGAGCGTTCGGAAAAACAAGAATTTTGGAAATTTGCTAATGGACTAACTCTAAAATGATATATACCAATGATTAGAAAAAGGTTAAACCTGGAAAGGAAATTCTTGTTTTAGATATTTCCGTAGTAGAATTACGAAAGATTGAATTGCTACAATAAACCGAACTAATTTTTGCATAATTATAAATAAATATTAAAACTATTGAAAATTATTATTTTATAAAACAAATTTTTCTGGGATTTCTCGAATGAATAAGAATTACACTTAAAAATGTTCATCCTCCGAGACACTCTAATATTCATATACATACACTTTGAAAGACATGTTTATAAGCCTACAAATAGGAAACAATTTGTGAATTTATTTAAATTATAAACAAATGACAGCACGTACTGTGTGTTTATGTCAACTATATGCGTATGGACGCATACGCAACTCATATCGTTATATAAAATCCAAAAATGTCTAAATAAAATATATTATCGTATCCATTCGATTGGCCTCCGTTTATATATTAATTACAATTTTTCCCAATTTTGAAATTTTAAATCCATTTTTTTTTGATATCTTCAAAACTAAATGACGAATTAAAATTAAATTTTGAAAGCCATTTCCTACAACACTACAAGAAATATCAAAAATCTATTTATTGGAATAAAATTAGGGTACTATAGTATTTTATTCAAAGTAGTTATCGTTATATTTTTCTTAGTTTTTTTTTTAATTAACTTATCATAACATTTTCTATCTAGTCGATAGGTAACGGAAAAAATATTTTTATTTTTCCTCTTACTTATTATCGCATCTTTAGAAAATTGTTCAAAAAATCGCAGTAGGTTTTCATTCTTCATACGATATTTGAAGTCTGTTAATATGTGACCCTAAAGTGTATAAATATATACATATACATACGTACATATATGTACATTTATGTTTGGGAGTGTTTCGGCAAATTTGAATAAAATTCAGTTTTATCATTTGAATTTAATATCCATACTTGGGTACAAATGCTGTCACAGTTTACATAAGTTTCAAACATAGAGGCATAGAGATACTCGTAATATGTTAATTTTATTCTTTTTAGCATAAAATTTTAGTTTATTTAATAAAAATAATACGAGGACATACGACATAATGAATTTATCCTAACAGAAATAAAAACAACTTAGTGGTAGTGAGTGGTATTATCTGGCCCCCATTGCATATATACATACATAAGTATGTACATATGTATGTATTTATGTTTTTCACACGATGTCACTGCATAGCAAGACCTTCAAACATCATTCTTCAAGAAGGCTTATTACTATTAAGCTTTAAATTATTACTACTAACCATAAATTTAACACAGATCATCTTTTGAAGGCCTTCTTGAAACTCTGTCTGGAAGAGATAGAGTAAAAATACATTTTAGGTGACTATATATAGTGAATATATTTAATGCACTCTACACACATTAGTATGTACATATGATGTTACCCAAAATATTTTGGATTTAGCGTTGGACGTTCGTGAAGTGGATATAATTTTACAAGTTAAATTCAAAGTTGTACTCGGCCTTATCTTGATTCCCAAAATATTTTGAATCTAGCGAAGGCCATTCATGCCGGAAATCGACTAAAAGTATAAAATATGTATTAGTACTTTTTCACGGCACATATTTATGTATGTATGTATGTAATAAGACCCATCAAAACAAAATCGATATTTTTTGAACACCTCTAATGCACATACATTGTAATTAAAGTCGAATTTATTTTTGTGTTTTTGTTTCAATTTCTAAATAAGTAAAAAATCCATAATATCAATTATAAATATATGTATGTACTTAGTTTAGATACTATAATTTAACAAGTACACTAATACGTGTTTGTATTTGGAAAACGTTAATTGAGCCATAAACTGTGTGCCGTATTAGAGATGGCCGCGTGAGTGACTTAATATAATTAAACAAAATATTTAAAACAAACTTTAGTTGAACAGGGAATGTCCGACTATACTTTAAATGATTCTATATGTAAAGTTTAAAGTTTTTATTTATTCTTTTAACTCGCCGTTTATTACCTTGCATTACTGATTTTAAGAAAAGCCTTTTTTGGAAATATGTTTCTTTCTTATGTCACTTTATCATCCCTTTTGTATGTGAACAATAAAATAATCCATAAATCTTTTATTCGGCATACCTAAATATACATTTTTTCTAAAACAAACATTTTTCAATAAATATGAATTTTAACAGAAAAATTTATATTTAAATTAAACAAACTACAAAATAGAAATTTTATTCTAAAATTAGCTTTTATATTTTTTCAATAATTTAAAATTAGTAAGTACATCCTAATGTTGACATATTTTTTATTTTGAAATAAATTTTAGAACTTCAAAGATATGTACATATATACAGTTAATCTAGGATTAAAGACAAAACTTTATAACTTTTTTATAAGATTGTATTATGTATTTGGGTTAATTAAAAAATAAAACATCAAAAGTATTTGTTAGAAATCACATGCATTCCTGGGTATACTTTTTTGCTTAATTTTTCTACTTTTCAAAAGTAAAAAATCGTCTCATTATAATGAAAAAATCCAATTTTAAAATTAAATAGAAAAAGATAGAGCATTTGTTTATACAACATTCCTTAATAAGGGTATAAATCTTAGGAAACTCATAAAAGTGTTTTTAATTTTGACTTAAAGATGTGTAATCTTAAGCAAACAAAGTCAAACATACAAATCTGTTTTGAAATATTTAGCATTAAATATAAGTGGAAACAACAGAAAAAAGGTGTAGGGAAGTTTTGCGTAATTTACGTTAATACAGCGTATTTACCAAGGAGCGACAACATACACTGGCGCTTTAGCCGCTACATATGGTACGATACAAGGGAAACCAGCAAAAAATCCCTACAGCATTCTCCGAAAGTATTGACAAACGTTGAAAGGATTAATTACGTCAAGTCACCTCAAGATGACAAACACTGATTGGATTAAGATTAATGCGACGATTGCAAAGACGATGATATCGTTTGTCTAGGTAATGAAAGTGCTCGTTTTAAGAATCCAATTAGATAAAGGATGTTGTGATTGCTGAAATTGATGAATATTGAAATGTTTTAATTTACATAAATTACCTGAGTGAGCGGTATGGAAAAGGTTGGCAAATTATAATACATACATATGTTGAACAGACATTTCTACAAGACAAAATAGCTGATGCTGATGACATACGTTGATGTACCTGAATTGAGATGTAATGCGTTAAATGTATAAATAGAATGAGAAATTGAAGAAGTGTATGCAGTATTCATTTGTATTCTCAATAGCCAACACAAGGAGCCTTACGATTAAAACTAAAGAAAATGGGAAACGTACAAGCACAATGTGTTCCTACATCCGTTCAAGATGCCAATAATAATATTCCTGGTCTAATGAAACGTACATGCCAACGCATGAGTTTGAAACGCGAAAAAATGCCAACACCTACGCAGTCAACCAAAACCCAGAAGTCGAATAGAAAACGAATTGTTTTGAAAGCCATGCCAAGATGCTCATCATTTGAAGATTTGTCGTCTTTGTTGCCTTCTTCGAAAAAAGTCGATAATGATCCAACTTATTTGCTATGGAAAAAATCATTCGAATGCCCTCGAGACAAACCAGAAACAGATAAACAGAAGCATTTGAGACGCATGAAGAAACGTGTTCACGACATGACCTCCGCTGTCAGCGGTCACATTACTCCAAAAGGATTTCCATCATACACTAATTTAAAACCTGTCCGTAGTTCCAGTCAAAATCAATACAAAAAGAAACCCTTACAATTACCTCTGCCCGATGACAGTCTACATGTCGAATGCAAAAATGAATTACCTCTCCAAAATATTTCTCCCCAACGTTTGTCAACAGTCGTAATGTGCAACAATATCCCAAACACCAACTCGAAAACTCCTATCCAGCCAAAATACACTTTGGCACCACTAAACCTGCTCTCTAAGTTGTCACAAAAGAAACAAGCGATTCTTATCGAACAACTTTTTCGTGACATAAAAAATTTTGAATCGCACTACGACACGAAAATGGATTCCTTTATATTTTAATGTTTCGTTTAAGCAGAGCTAAATGAATCGAATCATTGAAAAGTCGAAATTAATGACATATCAACGAGAACCTGTTTTTTATTTTTAAGTCATTTATGTTTAAGTTTACTAATTTTAACATTTAAGTATTTACTTCTTAAGGATATTAAAGCTGTTGTGATAAAGTTTAAGTTAAGTTTACAATAAATTTTATTAAAAAACATAATTGTATCTATTACATTACATATATTTGAAGTTTAGTCATATAAATCAGGGATCACAAATAATGATTGTTGTTAAAACGTTAACAGAAAAATTCATATATTCATATTAAAAAAGACATCATCTGGCTATAAGAACTATGCCACGGTAATCCATGTTAAATAAACTGCCGAATTATATACAGTTTATGTATATTTTTTAAGTTTTAGTAAAAAACTCAAAAGTAATAATTATTTTCTGAATTTTTTTATGAATGACACCATTTGCACCAATATATTGGATTGAAGGCCAGGATTAAATTTGTAGCTGTATCAGTCAAGAACAGCCGGTGTTAGAGGCGGTCAAAGTTGGACATTTTGGCTATACGGGGTTTTTTCAAATGAGTGTAACTTTAGATAGCTTTTTTTTGCTCAAAAAAAAAAAGCTTATTCAATTTTCTTTAAGGGCTTTATTGTCGCTTAATAGGATGCGAGGAGATATCTATAAAAAATTTTTTTTAACTCAAGAATCAAATTTTTCAATATTTCCATTTTCTCATATTTTTTTCAAAATAGATTTTTTTTCTTTTTGCTCAAAAGAAAGCTTAGACAATTTATTTTAAAAGCTTTGTGGTAACTTAGTGCTACCTAGGGTTGTCATTCGAATAAAAATTATTCGATTAATCGAGGAAAAAATTTGTTTTTCTTCGAACGAATAAAAAATTTCCAATTTAGAATAAAGAATAATTCGAAAAATTTTTGTCGATTAATCGTGTATTCGAATAATATTTGAATGCTACTTTTTACTAATATTTTTTTATACATAGCATTGAAATTATGTTAATATTTTGTAAAACAAATCTAAATATAAAGATATGTTATAATTGAAACAAAACTTTTACTACATTTTGCATTTTATAAAAAATTAGTTTTGCAATGTTAAAAATAAAATGGTTCTAGTTTTAAAAGTGATTCTTTAATTTTTTTTAATGTTTGCAATAAGTGAAACAGATATACATTAATTAATTTAGTTCTTTAAGTATCTGACTTTTCATAAGAAAGACAACAATTTCTAAGTATACTGAACCCTGTTTCCTGGGCAAGAAGATACCGGTTAATGACAGAGTGTAAGCCATCACCGAAAATTAAAATTGAGACACCACATAGAGGATAGAATCAAAAAGGCACATCGGTTCTTGGCGATATGTAGGAGAACTATAGGCATGAAATGGGGTCTTAGTCCTACTATGACATATTGGTTTTATTAATGTGTAATTGGACTAATTCTAGCTTATGCTTCAATAATATGGTTGACTTCTTTGGACAAAAAGTGTAATATCAAACTACAACAGGGAGTTCAGTATACATGCTGCTTGGGTACAATTGGTGCCATAAGCACAACGTCAAGTAAGTCTCTAAAAACGTTGCTAGATATTCCAACCATTGAAACATATTTAAGATGTGATCATAGCTTCATGTGAACTGGCTTAAAACGGTTAGAGAACACGTCATCAATGTATACTGGACACATTGGAAGACTATAAACAATTATTGGACGTGCCTGATCGTATACCAAACACAGAAACACTGAGCCGAGTTAGAATGTCTTGGTCAAGCGGAACATTTCTCACGAACCAGTTTGGGTTTCAGAATATTGAAAGATAACACATTCAGTGGACACTGCTTCTAATACACTAATAAATAGTACGGTTTTCTTATATAAAACAGGCCTAAGCTTTCACTTTTAAATCCGTTTATAAATTTAAAATAGGTTAAGATTCATCTAAGTTACTGATTTATATATATAAGTGTATTAATGTACGAAAACCGTTTTTACCCGTATCTTAATATTTTGAATGTGTTTCGCAAATTTTATTTATATTTTATTAAATTATTCGAATAAAAACGTTTATTCGTTATTTGTTCGAATAATCGAACAATTTTTAAAGTTTAATCGACTACTCGAATGAAATAAATATAGTACATTTTAATTCGAATAATTTTAAACACGAATAATTGTGGTGCTCATATATACATATGTATGTATGTGTATTAGAGTGCTCCAAAAAAACTAAAATTGTGTACGCCCCCTCTAGAATTGTTCTTTGGGTGGTAAAACTATGTCATACAAAAAAGAGGCTGATAGGATAACGTTAACAGGTGCCGCAACGGCTCTGAAGTTTCCAAGTGCATTTCCAAGGGGAAAATATCGATTTTTTTCAGATTTGCTCAAATTTGGCCATTTAGTAATAAATTTTGAATTTTTGTAAAGGAATTGTAATGTGTACAGTGTAAGCATTTCGGAAAGATATAAAATTGCTTGATAACTTTAAAAGTTATTGCTAATTCCCCAGGCCATTAACGTGTCTCACAGCACATGAGTTCGAAATGTTACCAAAAAAAATTAATTTTTTGTATATATTCTAAAAAAAAAACTTTTGTTACTTAAAATATATATATAATTACTCGAACATTATAAAAAACTGAGTAGGGTGGTTTATATGGACTTTAAACACATACATGACGAATTTTTACCGATATCTTCATTCGGTAATAAAATATGTGCGTTTACGTGGTTATCAGAAGTGGACCTTATATTGGAGCTATGCCCAATTATTAACCGATCAAAAATATGTGTTTCAGAGTGATATATGTATACACAAAACATATTTATGGTAAATATTATTCCAATAGCTTTATTTCTTAATTAGTTATGTACATTTAAGTGTTTGTTGAAAGTGGACTATGGAAGCTATAACCAATTATGGACCGATACAGATCTACGTTGGTAATATGATTTCTGTTATATTCATATGTGCAAAATTTCGTGGAGGTACCGATAATTTTGACGAAGTTATTAACGATAAATCTATTTCCGAGAATATGTACCTTTGAATGGGGCTATGGGAAATTTTGAATCGATTGTTTTGATTTTGAACATAATTAATCCCTGGACGAAAAGATCGTCGAATTATCTTCAGTAGTCTCTGAGAAATCTATTCGAGAATTAGGTAAAAAACGTCATTTTTTCGAGATAGTCTAAAATATTTACTCTTTTTACATTGATGATTTTCAATACCAAACTACTTAGGACAATGATGAATATTTTTGGGAGAATTATATGTTCCACCAAGATCTCTTAGAACGAGAAATGCATTTTTTTATATAGATTTCCATAAAACACAATATGCTTTAAATGAGCCTGTAACAAAAGCCACGCTTCTTTTTAATATTTTTGTACTAAAATCGATATTAGTGTACCAAGTATGGAATTCAAGAATATATTAGAGAAATTATTTTAAAGTTTAGAATTATAAGTTAGTCTGTAAGGATAATATTGTATCTCAAGACTAAATAAGTAAATGAATGACAAACTTATAAAACTGCATTTTATAAGTTTATCTATCACCACTGATGGTAGTGAAGGGAATAAAAATGAAGTATAAAATATCGAAAAAGCGCTAAAAATAATAAATATGCTATTAAAATCATATAATATCATGCCAAAATATGAACTAACAAATCGATCCCAAATTGTTCTGAATCGTGTAAATATCTTGTTCATAAAGAACATGCATTAGCATATTTTGGTTTCCTTGCTAATTACGAATATAAAGTGATATTCGTATTTAGCATTGAATTTTATTTTATATTGAACAATATTTCTAATTTCAACTACATTTCTTTTTCTTTTAAAGAAAACAAATCGCACTAATTGAAACTATCTCTCCATTTTAAATTCTTTAGTGTTCTCCTGTAAAATTTTAAAAATATTAGATAGGGCCTTTTGTGTTTTAGGTGACGATATACATATACGTCACTTTATTAATTCTTCAAACATTCGAATCCAAGTCCAATTTAATATCTACTGCGTTTAACGCCCATAATTTATAGATTCTAATATTTTTCTAGATAATAACAAATTAATGTAAACTTTATATGTTTTTTTTTCAATTTCTTAATATTTTTGTTTTTAATTTTTCTGTAAGCTTTTGACATTCATGAAGCTAAGTTATTTAATAATTTATTATTTAACTAATGATTCAAATGCGGATTTTCTGTCAAGCAAGTCATTAAGAACTTTTACAATAACTTAAAATTTAAATTTTGCATCAAATTATATTTATTCTCATTTTAAAATTAAATTTATAAATACAGCAAAGATTAAAATTCAATTTCCTCCTAATTATCATGTGGTGGTTTGCAAAACACAGTTTCATCGTGTTCAAAATAAATGAGATTAGACTGAAATATATGTATATCTGTTTTGTCTGCCTGTCTGATGTTGTCGTTTATATCGATTGGGTGAAGTGTTAAGTTTGTGAACACAATACAAATGAAATCTGAAAATAAAAGTCAGTCAAAGTCATGCCATGGAAAAATACATTCATAATGGAACAAATGGAGAGAAAAAAGTGCCACTACCGACAGGAAACAAGTTTTCACTGCATGTATCCTTGCTATATGGACGTTGGGATTGCAATAATCCACTACGTTCTTTTTTGTATTTATATATGTATATTATACATACATACATATAGAACATAGCAAAATATGTTTGTATGTATGCCAAAAGGATAGAACAAGGGCTGTATGACGACATAGAAAACAATTATATTCTTGTCTGAGGAAGTTTAATGCTGCAGAAATAATTTGACTTGGAATATTTAAGACAGTCGTCTCCGGTTTTATATTACAAATATTTTAAAAAAATGTGTTTGTATTTAATGCTGTGCAAAAATGAATTGTGGCTAACAAAGAATTCAATTCAATTCAAACATAAATAATTCTAATTGGATTTTGAATTCCATTACCTGGTGA